TCTCTGTGACTTGACCGAGAATGATCGATCCTGGGATGATATATTCGTCTGAGAAGGTTTACATAATAAACATTGAGAGAGCCTTCCCTTCTTCTCTTCCACTTACAACAAACTACGTAAGGGTCAATATTATTATTATTATAATAAAAAAGCGCTAAACCACAAGGGCCATACAGCGTGAGGGTCAGTAAACCAGCCAGGGCTCCCCTTGTGTTGTCATGACAACTGGTCACCTGTCGGATGGGAGGGATAAGGGAGAAAACAATCATTGTTTTGTTGATTGTTAGGTAACATAAGTGTGTCAGTGTAGTGTGGGCCGTCAGTGTAGCTGTGTGCTTTAAGACAGTGTGTCAGTGTAGCTGTGTGCTCTAAGACAGTGTGTCAGTGTAGCTGTGTGCTCTAAGACAGTGTGTCAGTGTAGCTGTGTGCTTTAAGACAGTGTGTCAGTGTAGCTGTGTGCTTTAAGACAGTGTGTCAGTGTAGCTGTGTGCTTTAAGACAGTGTGTCAGTATAGTGTGGACTGTCAGTGTAGCTGTATGCTCTAAGACAGTGTGTCAGTGTAGCTGTGTGCTTTAAGACAGTGGTCAGTGTAGCTGTGTGCTTTAAGACAGTGTGTCAGTGTAGCTGTGTGCTTAAGACAGTGTGTCAGTATAGTGTGGACTGTCAGTGTAGCTGTATGCTCTAAGACAGTGTGTCAGTGTAGCTGTGTGCTTTAAGACAGTGTGTCAGTGTAGCTGTGTGCTCTAAGACAGTGTGTCAGTGTAGCTGTGTGCTTTAAGACAGTGTGTCAGTGTAGCTGTGTGCTTTAAGACAGTGTGTCAGTGTAGCTGTGTGCTCTAAGACAGTGTGTCAGTGTAGCTGTGTGCTTTAAGACAGTGTGTTAGTGTAGCTGTGTGCTTTAAGACAGTGTGTCAGTATAGTGTGGACTGTCAGTGTAGCTGTATGCTCTAAGACAGTGTGTCAGTGTAGCTGTGTGCTTTAAGACAGTGTGTCAGTGTAGTGTGGACTGCCAGTGTAGCTGTTTGCTTTAAGACAGTGTGTCAGTGTAGTGTGGGCCGTCAGTGTAGCTGTGTGCTTTAAGACAGTGTGTCAGTGTAGTGTGGACCGTCAGTGTAGTTGTGTGCTTTAAGACTGTGTCAGTGTAGTGTGAACCGTCAGCGTAGCTGTATGCTTTAAGACAGTGTGTCAGTGTAGTGTGAACCGTCAGTGTAGCTGTGTGGCTTAACACAGTGTGGTGTCAGTGTAGTGTGGACCGTCAGTGTAGCTGTGTACTCTAAGACAGTGTGTCATTGTAGTGTGAACTGTCAGTGTAGCTGTGTACTTTAAGACAGTGTGTCATTGTAGTGTGAACTGTCAGTGTAGCTGTGTGCTTTAAGACAGTGTGTCAGTGTAGTGTGAACCGTCAGTGTAGCTGTGTGGCTTAACACAGTGTGTCAGTGTAGTGTGGACCGTCAGTGTAGCTGTGTACTCTAAGACAGTGTGTCATTGTAGTGTGAACTGTCAGTGTAGCTGTGTACTTTAAGACAGTGTGTCAGTGTAGTGTTGACCGTCAGTGTAGCTGTTTGTTTTAAGATACTGTAAGGCTTTTCTCTACCAGAAAATTACTGAGTTTTAAAAGAGGCAGCGTTTGTTATGGATGAGAGCATGGGAGAGGCGCCTCCAGAGACAGGTGAGGCAGGAAGACCACGTCATAATGTATCAGTCGTTGTAGCTGGAGTGGAATCTTAGTATATACCAATAAAGGAGCAGAACCGACTACCTGCATGGGTTAGTTCAAGAAGACAGCCAAGAGGTACCTAATGAATGTACCTACAGAAAGGGTGGAGAGTGATTATTGTACAGTAGCATCCCACTTATATGGCAAGTTAGGTTCCAGACTACCGCAGTAAAGTGGAATCTCGCCGTAAAATGGAAATCGCCGTAAAGTGGAAATCGCCGTAAAGTGGAACGCCCTTTTTTTTCATTTATAAATGCATATAAATATTAAATAACAAGTTTACACTAACATATAATAAGTTATATTTTATATCTAACGTACATGTACTGTAATCTGATCCTATGTTTAATATTAATGCACATAACTGATTATACCTTACTCTAGTATATCTACTTTTACTGTTACTTTTCACATAGTTAAGTTACTAACTTATTTTTAACTTTTAATTTTAAATAACTGAATTTCCTTTCCCTCTATTGTAACTATTTTTTACATAGTTAAATTATTACCTGTTATAACTTGAAAGTTTAAACAATAATTATTACAAGGATCCCAATAGGAATAAGTAGCAACTTATATACACAGTAACAGCAGCAACAACAATAACAACAACAGCAATAATAATAATAATAATAATAATAATAATAATAATAATAATAATAATAATAATAATAATAAATAATAATAATGGGTGTTTCTTGCTGATGCCACAGGCTGAAGATGAGAGGACCATCACTGGCGCTACTCTGGATGCTGCAGGCTTGTCTCTCCGGATGCTCACAGGTGAGATATCATCCCCCAGTCCCTCCCTGTGCCTGGAGGGAGGCCTGGCCTAGCCAGGCCTGGCCAGGCTGGCCCTGCCTGGCCTGGTCTGGCCTGGCCTGGCCCGGCCTGGCCTGATCTGGCCTACCACCACTGTAATACTCCACCTTGCTGCCTCAAGGCTCACTCCTGTGACTTTAAAACAAGTACAGAAATAAGTTTAAATCGCTTAAATTTCACGAGACGAATCTAATGGTTCCTGCATGCACCTCCGTCATCTCCTGGTATGTATATCACTATGTGGGGAACTCTGCATCTATATGTACTGGGGAGAGGTATGTATGTATGTATAAACATGTGTACTCACCTAGCTGTGGTTGCAGGGGGTCGATTCACAGCTCCTGATGCCGTGGATATGTTCATGTGTATGTATGAGATTGTAAGGTCTGGTTAATGATGGGGAACGAGGTAGTGTGTAGGTGGGTGGTAAATGGTATACCAGTAGTCTGTGATGTAGGTGACGTTTAGGTCCGGTCCTAGACCATCTTCACAGGATGGACCGGTACATGGTCTGACGTCCCATCTGCACAGTGCGCGGTATTTGGGAATTGCTCCAGCCATGATGTACTGTGAGCTTGGGTCCGTCCCCTCCCCCCTATGTTAAGCTCCCCCTCCCTCTTCTCCCCTCCCCCTCTCTCCTCTTCCTTCCCCCTCCCTCCTATCCCCTCCCCCTCCTCATCTCTCCTCCCATCCTAGTGCGCGTGCGCAACTTTCACTCCTCTTTCCGATCTGTTGCTCTTTGATTACCCTCCCTTCCCTCCCTCCCTCCCTTCCTCCCTCCCATCACGTGCCCCGGAGAGGGAGGGAGGGAGGGTAACACCCTCCACTCGTGGAGTGCTGGAGGACCTTGCACGGTCGGAGCCACCTCCTCCCCCCCTCTGACTCCAACTTTCTCCTGGGGTCGCCTGTGGAGTGAGAGGGGAGGAAGGGGATGTTGGAGGGATGGATAGAGTGTGGGAGGGGAGGGAGGGGGAAAGAGTGAGGAGGCAGGTAAAGCAAGTGTGACAATATCCCCTGTATTATCTATGTCAGTGGGACTCACTCACTCACTCTCTCTCTCTCTCTCTCTCTCTCTCTCTTCTCTCTCTCTCTCTCTTTCACTCACTACCTCTCATTATCTCTCTCTCTTTCTCTCTCTTTTACTCACTATCTCTCTCTCACACACACGCTCACTATCTCTCACTATCTCTCTCTCTCTCTTTCTTTCACTCACTATCTCTCTCTCTCTCTCTCCTTCTCTCTCTCTTCTCTCTCTCTCTCTCTCTCTCTCTCTCTCCTTCTCTCTCTCTCTCTCTCTCTTTCTTTCACTCACTATCTCTCTCTCTGTTACACGGGGTTTAACCAGGTTAATTATTATTATTATTATTAGTATAATCAAAAAGAAGCGCTAAGCCACAAGGGCTATGCAGCTTAACCAGGTTAAGTTAAGGATTCCTAACTTTATTGACATGCTAAGAGCTGTTACCTACATCAAGTCACCCGTTACCTGTTACTTTGTTATCTGTTATCTGTTAGTGGTCCTGGTATCATGGCCCCCGAGGCTTGGTCTCGGACCAAGCCTTCTAGGTTGGGAACTAATTACTACAGGATTAAGATCTATTAATAAGTTAAGATATTAGTCTCCATGTGATAACTTGTCAATGCCTCTTCTGATAGGATTCAAACTCTTCAACGCTGATAACAGCTTTCGAAGCTATGCACTTTTTTAGCGTGGATTTAGGTAGATGAGGCTGGGTTTATTGTTTTGTTATGATACAGGATACCGTCTTCTGATCATTGAGGTACCTGGAGAGTACGGTCGCAGACCAGGCCTCCCAGTGGATGGCCTGATCAACCTGGCTGTTGGTGCTAGCTGAAGATAACCAGGGGTCTGTTGTTTGCCCGTCTTATGCATAAAGGAAGACGTTGCAAAGTCTTGGTCCTCTCACACTGTGTTCATGGGACACAGGGATACCTTTCTGGGATCACTGAGGTACGCAGGAGGCTGTGCTTATGGGATCTTTGAGATACAGAGGAGCCTATGCTCATGGGACACAGGGATACCTTTCTGGAATCATTGAGATACAGAGGAGCCTATGCTCATGGGACACAGGGATACCTTTTTAAGATCACGCAGAGACCGAGAACCTGCAGTTAAATGGACAGTCACCAAGTGGACTGGTAATAACCGTGATAAACAAAGCAATAGTCTATAACAGTCTGGGACCAGAAGACCGCTTTAGGAACATCATCACGTCTCCAGTCTGATATTAAACCAGCCCAGGAGGTCCAGTGGGTGAAGGACTGCCATCTGGCGCCTGTCTAACAGTCTGGCGCCTGTCTAACTGTCTTGTTGCCTGTATTCCTAACGCCGCTACGCTTCTCTTCCGATCGGAATTCGTTCTAACGGGATCTATTCAAAGCTGAATGACCCTCGCGATTTTACAGCTTTCTATGCAAAAATAATAATAATAATAATAATAATAATAATAATAATAATAATAATAATAATAATAATAATAATAATAACGAAATATATGATAGGATTAGGTTCACTCCCTGATTCCATAAAAATTCGGGTTCGCAAAGTCGGAATAGAATTAGTTTAGTGGACTCGCATTCACTCTCCCGGATCCGGGTTCGCTAAGCCAGAATGGGATTCGCTCTAGTGGACTCAGGTTCGGAATCCGCTATAAGGAATCAGTCAGCCCCCAGATGCTGTCCACCATCTGGGACTGTTTACATGAACAATGATTTCATTCCTGGGTTCGTTTGAGTTCACTAATATGCATGTGGGTGTGTGTAGGTGTATGTGGGTGTGCGTACGTGCATGTACGTCCGTGTGTGTGCATTTTCTAAGGTTGTGTGGTATTCTCTCTCTCTCTCTCTCTCTCTCTCTCTCTCCTCTCTCCTCTCTCTCTTCTCTCTCTCTCTCTCTCTCTCTCTCTCTCTCTCTCTCTCTCTCTCTCTCGCTTTCTCCTTGCTCCTCTCTCTCCGTTGCCTTGCATTGACTGGAAATCCAGTAAATACTTGCTGGGTCATCCAGTAGTGAGTTAAGTCCAGTAGCTTCGCAATACTACTATTATTATTGTTACTACTACTACTACTACTACTACTACTACTACTACTACTACTACTACTACTACTACTACTACTACTATATCTACTACTACTACTACTATACTACTACTTACTCACTACTACTACTATTACATCTACTACTATACTACTACTACTATTTAACTAACTACTATTACTACTACTACTACTACTATTACTACTACTACACTACTATTACTACTACTACTACTACTACTACTACTACTACTACTACTACTACTACTACTACTACTACTACTACTACTACTACTATTACTACTACTACTACTACTACTACTCTATACTACTACTACTTACTACTACTACTACTACTACAACTACTATTACTCATACTACTACTACTACTATTACTACTACTACTACTTACTACTACTACTACTACTAACTACTACTACTACACTATTCTACTACTACTACTACTACTATACTACTACTACTACTACTACTATATACTACTACTAGTACTACTACTACTACTATTACTACTACTACTACTACTAATACTACTACTACTACTACTACTACTACTACTATTACTACTACTACTACTACTACTACTACTACTACTACTACTACTACTACTACTACTACTACTACTACTACTACTACTACTACTACTACTACTACTACTACTACCCTATACTACTACTACACTACTACTTACTACTCACTACTACTATACTACTACCTACTACTATACTACTACTACTACTATACTATACTACTACTACTACTACTTACTACTACTACTACTACTACTACATACTAACTACTACTAAATACTACTACTACTACTACTACTACTACTACTACTACTACTATACTACCACTACTACTACTATTACTACTACCACTACTACCTACTAACCTACTATTACTACTACTACTTACTACTACAACTATTACAACACTACTACTACTATACTACTACTACAACTACACACTACTACACTACTACTACTACTACACACTACACTTACATACTATCCAACATACATACTCTATCTTTAGTCCGTTATCGTTACTGTTGAATTTATGGTGACTTAACTATTTTCTCCTGATTTTGGACTAGATCACATGTCACTTACTCACTCTCTTACGAACTGCTCTTTTACCATTAGCCTTATACTACCCTTGACTCTGACCTAGCATAGCTCGCGAGACTACTACTTTATTAGAACAACTAAGCTACAAGCCTCTGTTCAGCGGGTTCTTCTTGTACTTTACTCAAATCAATTTATGAACCTACAATACTAAGCTACCTAATAATACTTACCTGGCCATAAACGTCTTCTATCACCATATTTGAAGGTACTTTACTTCTCTACTTTACCAGTACTATGGAACTATGAACTGTAGAGATACTGAACCTATCCTAATAGGCTATAACTATAATAATATTTTTTCAAAAGGGTGAAGTAGACTAACTTCGGTCAGATACCAAACTCCACTGTGGCATCATATGACTAAGACCCTCACAAAACACTTTTCTTTTCTAACTACCTACTAACTTAAGAAACAACAGTGCTAGTAGTAATAACTATAGTCTGTTTGTAAGACTACAGTAGTTTAGTGGGTAAAAACATCGTGGTAGTGGTAAACAACGTAGTAGTGCATGTAATAATCATGTAGTGGTAGAACTGCTCTTGTGTAAACAACTTAGTATTAAAACACAGTAGTTGGTAAAACAAAGTCGCGAGTGGAAAAAACTACATGTATGTAAAAACAAAGTAGTCAGTGAGAAAAACTCGGGGTTTACAGCATGGTAGTGGTCACGTGTAGTGGTTAAAACAACAGTGAGTGGTAAAGAACAACAGATAGTGGAAAAGCAATGAAGTCTTTGGTTAAACACTGTATGTAAA